GGCTGAGTTAGAGGCACACAGCATCCAGCCAGGGCCAGGCAGAGGAGGCAACCCCCTCCTTCCTTCCACAAAGGGATCTGGGGCACACCCTTCCAAAACCAGCCCATAACACCCCACAAGGGCCAGGGAAAGGGTCCAACCTCCACCTCAAGGTGCAAAAGCTCTAAGAGCCAAGTGTCAGGGATGGAGAGCAAGTCCCTGCTGCCCACACTCACCTGGGCCAGGCTAAAACCAGCCCTAACATCCCACAACAAGGACCAGGGATATGGTCCAACCTCCACTTCGAGGGCCAAAAGATGCAAGAGCCAAGAGTCAGGGATGGAAAGCAACTTCCTCCTTCTAGAGAGGGATCTGGGGCCCACACTTGCTTCCAGAATCGGCCCACAACACTTCACCATGACCAGGGAGATGGTCCAACCTCCACCTCGAGGTCCAAATGATGCAAGAACCAAGTGTCAGGGATGGAGAGCAACTTCCTCCTTCCACAAAGGACTCTGCTGTCCACACTTGCTTCCAAAACCAGTCCACAACACCTCACAAGGACCAGGGAGAGGGTCCAACCCCCAACTCAAGGTGCAAAAGCTCTAAGAGCCAAGTATCAATGATGGAGATCAACTCCCTCCTTCCACACAAGGCTCTACTGTCCACGCTCACCTCAAAAACCAGCCCACAACCCATTTTTAGCTCCTTCCTCCCCATCCTTGGGCACAGCTGTGGTGTCTGTGCACATCACACTCAACGAGGCTTTCAAGCCCCACTCGTCAGAAGCACAGCCCAGGGCTGAGCTGTGCCTCTGGAGCCAAAATCAAGGGCAGGGGACAGATACTCATGGGCAGGGAGTGTGGGATGAGAGCCTAGAGGAGCAGAATTCCCCAGCTCACCCTGCAGTGCCCTCCCATGGATAAGCAAACAAGCCAAGCCTTTCTGAAACTGAAAGGCATCGCTTGTTGTTGTTGAAAGCAGCAGGAAACCCTTCCGAAGGCAGTTCCTCCTCTGCACACAGGAAGACACATCCCTAACACAACCCTCAGCCACCAGCGCCAGCTCACGTCCGCCTGGACATTCCTCCCAGGAATCATTCCACAGGAATGTCCGGGAATTGGGACACGGGAATGGAACTCACAGCATAACTGAGGGCTCAGGGAGCAAAGTGAACATCTCTGTGTTTGAAAAAAAACAACCCAAACAGACTAAAGTTGGACCACCCTCCTCTGCTTCACCAGGAGGAAAAGCATGCACTGCCTCGCTGTGCTGGGCACCATCCTGACCTGGGATCTGACTGGCAAAAGCAATGCCAAGACCAAACCCAAGGCTGGGAGCTCAGCCCAGCCCTGACAGAAGCTTCAGTTACACAAAACCAGGTCAAAATGGTCAGTTCTCACTTCCAGTCCATTCCCAGGACACTGCAAGGAGGATTCCTGCCCAGGCACTGGGGTTCAACCTGCCATGGGTGTTCCAGGACTCAGCCAAGTGAGTAAAAACACTGAAACAGCCCAGAGAAGCTGTGGTTGCTCCATCCCTGGGAGTGTTCCAGGCCAGGCTGGATGGGGCATGGAGCAACCTGGGCTGGTGCAAGGTGTCCCTGCCCAGAGCAGGAGCTGGAATGAGATGAGCCTTAGGGTTCCTTCCAACCCAACCCATTCCATGATAACCCGAGTACATGGTCCAGGAGAATCTCCCCCTAAAAACCCCATTCCACCTAAGCCAGGGGTGTGCGAGGCCTTTAAACACGCCAACTAACTCATCTTTGGCCACTTGGGACTATTTGCACAGAGTCGCACCGAGCGAAGTGGGACAGGAAGAGGAACCAGAGCTAATCTGTAACTAGATTATCTCCTCTGCACACACTACCAGCAGGTTCTCCTCCTCCCCAATCGAACAAAGTTCAGTTTCATTTTTAATCACTTCTCAGCCGCTTTCTTTAACTCCCTCGAAACCCAGAGCATAGCCCACCCAGGGGCTGCCCTGGCCGGGAGGGTGGGATTCGGGGCAGGCAGAGGTGTCTCCCGCCCGGCCCCGCAGGACACACATCCCTCTCTGCCCCTCCAGGACCCCGCGCTGGGGCGGGATGGGATATGGGTCTGGAATTGATCCCAAAGAGGGATGAGGATCGCGGCCGCGCACG